CTGGTCGAAAGATCATATATGATTACCTTTGTATGGCTCCCCTCACATTGCTCAATCCCAGGCAATGAGAAGGCGGACTCTCTCGCAAAGGTGGGCGCGCAGGAAGGCGAATTGTATGACAGGCAAATTTCACACGATGAATTTTACCATTTAGTGCGTCAGAGTACCCTTTCGAGTTGGCAAACCGATTGGGACAATGGAAATCTTAGACGGTGGTTACATTCAATTATTCCTAATGTTTCTTCGAGAGCGTGGTTTAAAGGCTTGGGCTTAAGTCGTGACTTCATTCGCGTGATGAGTAGACTTATGTCCAACCACTACTCGCTAGATGCTCATCTCAATAGAATAAACCTCGTGGACAGCAACATCTGTCGGTGTGGAAACGGTTACGATGACATCGAACACGCAGTTTGGCAATGTACGGATAATGACGCCGCCAGTGAGCGACTTTTGAATACCCTCGAGGCCCAAGGAAGACAACCCTATGTTCCTATCAGAGACGTGTTGGCAACCCGTGATCTCTGCTATATGCAGTCCGTTTATGTTTTTCTTCAAATGTCTAGTATAAGAATTTAATTCCTTTTGTCTTTTGTCTCTCTTTATTAGTTTTTGTTTGTCTTGTCCCCCCGTCTCGATGAGTCTCATCGTCGCCCACTGGTCACCCACCATAGCCGGTCGAACTCCGGACGAAGCTAGAACAGCACTACCGTTCATACTGGCGACAACGAAACCCTACCCCAAGCTCCTCCCCTGATCCTATCCTTCGAAAATGTACCCTTCTAACCTCGAGTAAGCCGCGAGTAATCGGCCTAACTCCTACTAGACATGGAATTAAGTGAATTTTGTTACACACAGTGAACAATGAATTATCGGCTCCGTAAAGCTAACGCGATTGAGCCTTCCAAATAAACGAACTAGATAAAAAAAAAAACTTCCCCGGGGTACCCGGAACATGTCCAAGTGTGTCCAATGTGGTCTGGAACACTTAACACGACTTGCATTAATCTTATTTTTGAATTCTGTAGTAATTTGATGTGTCGCATGATGGTTTTGATACGTTTTCCGTTAAATCCAGCGTGAAGGCCCATATTCACCGGATTTTATTCCGGCCATATCTCCGGAACCGGTTCACCGATTCCAAAACCGTTCAATACCGTTCAATGGGACCCCAAGACCTATCATTTGGCGCCGAGTTTGTCCAAATCGGTTGAGCGGTTGCTGAGAAACGTGAGCGCATTCATTTCGTTACATACACACACACATATACACATACACACGTACACACACACACACACACAGACATGTTCCGATCTCGTCGAGCTGAGTCGAATGGTATATGACACTCGGCCCTCCGGGCCTCGGATCGATAGTCGGTTTTTCAAGTGATATCTATACCCTTCTTTGTAAAAAGGGTAAAAACGTGAACAGCCCTTACATAGAAAGCAACAGACTATAAGCAACAATCAATACGAAACTAACGATTTTCAATTGGCTCACTACTTGACTAGTCTATTGGTCCCAAGCAAATCGATTAACGTACCCCATTCTAGTCGAAATTCTAGTACTACACTGAATCGATTAGCTTGGGACCGAAGATAGTACCAGAGCTGAGCCAAAAAGTTGAGCTCGTTTCTTCGGGACCTTTCTGGTCTTAGAGTTACCTCTATGGTAATATGCCCAAAATACAAAAAAGGGTGACAAGTTAGAATGTGAGAAGTATCGAGCGATCACTATCGCAACAATCAATACGAAACTAATGATTTTAAATTGGCTAATTACTTGATTAGCCCATTTAACCCAAGTACATCTATAAGCGTTTCCGATTTTCGTACTAGAATATGTGTTTGATTTGACTCGCCTTTTTAATTTTACAGAGTTTATTGAGGGGTTCTTGGATTTTCCTACGTTTCGAAAGGTGCTTCAACTAGCTTGGGACCAAAGCTAAGCTAAGACCACAGTTAAAACAATTCGGATTTAGTTTTCACCAGTAGACATAACCAGTTAAAATCGTTGTTAGGATCCACTAAATACCCATTTAATGTTTTAGCACAGACAAACAGACATAAAACTCGCAAGTTGTTCATCGAATAAGCATTTAACAAACAATATAAGAGTATCGTAGTTGGTAGTACCGCCACCTGTGGCGCGCATAGTCAATTCCCTTGCGTTAGTGCCCACCACAGTGTACTCAACAGATGGCGGTAATGTTTTAGCGACGATGTTTTACAGTGAGAAATTTCCAATGTGTTATGCCTGTTTGTCTGTGGTTTTAGGTAAAGCAGGTGTATATAAAATAAGCTGTAATCATTATAACAAAGTATACGTAGGACAAAGCCAAGAGAACTTTAGCAACTAGATTTAAAGAACATAGCGGAGGTTAATAAGGCCGAAAAGCAAGAGGAAAAAGGCCTAACATATGACTTCAATTCAAAGGTTGCAGAATACATTGCACATTGTAGACGAAATACGCGTATCTGTCAAGGATAAGCAAATAAGGTAGTGGAATTAAATGGAAATTACTAATCCTTCTCTACGAGCTTCTCTCTCTCTTTATACAGGTATTCCACTAAGACGCCCACATTCATCAGGAGATTGAGCATGTTTCTTTGGGACCCCCTGATCTTAGTGTTAGTCTATGATAGCCACTAACAAGCAGATTTATGAGAAGTTATCGAGCCGGTTTTGTGGACGGGCGATCGACGACCGAAAAAAAAAATTCTTAAGTTGCGGCAGATCCTTCAAATGTGTCTCGAATATCAAGTCCCTATTAATCGGTTTCAAAGCCGCTTACAATACTATTAACCGTGAAGAGCTATGGACTGATCAAGGCTATGATGAATGTTGTATAATCAACCATCAATGCGAAACTAACGATTTTAAATTGGCTCTTTACTTGACCAGCCCATTGGTCCCAAGTACATCTATAAGCGTATCCCATTGTACTAGAATCTGTGTTAAGTTTGATTCGCCTTATACATATGAAAGAGTTTAATGAGGCGTTCGTGGAGTTTCCTGCGTTGCGGAGGGTTGCGGAGGGTTGCTTCAATTAGCTTGGGACCGAAGGCCTGGTACTTCTTGAGCCAAAATATTAAACATGTTTCTTCGGGACCCCCTGGTCTTAGTGTTAATATATGGTACAGCGCTGTGTGAAGATATCGGGTGCATTATCGGACTCGTTTGAAACACGCAAAGGATTTCGATAAAGCTATGGTCTTTCCTGGCTGCTGTTCAACATAACATTGTGCTATAACGTGTTATGAAACATGCCGAGCACGATCTTAAATAAATCCAATCATTTACTTCGCTGACGACGTGGACATTGTTGGGAGAATGTTCCAGTCGGTTGCTGAGCAGTATATAGGTTAAAACGTGAAGCAGAAAAGGTTGGAATATAGTTGAATACGTCGAAGACTAAGTATCTGTTGGCTGGAGGAGCCGAGTGCGATAGAGCGCGGATAGATAGAACTATTTCCAATGTCTTGGCATATGACATTGGCAGACACATTCCGAAAAAGATTCATCATCATACGACCCATCCACCATGGCATACGAGCGCATTTCGTCGACTGAAATCCAACAAAAGAGCCGCTCTTAGGAAATTCACCAAGCACCGCGTCACTATGTCAGGATAAATCACTAATACAAACGTGTTGCGAAACGGTGCTTTCTTCAGTATCGACGTGGATTGCAGAGAAAGCTTAAGTCACGTCCCAAGCAGTTTTGGAAGTTTGTCAACGAACAACGTCATGAAGCTGGTCTGCCGTCGTCTATGATACATAATGGTAACGTGGCCTCATCTACGCAAGATACATATCTGTCAGCTGTTCTCTGCAAAATTTGCTAGTGTATTCACTGACAAAAGACTGAGTGACGACCATGCCCGACTGGCTGCCAATTACGTTGTTTACCTAAAATGTTCATAAAGTATTACTGATCACTTGTATTGTACATGTTTTTCAAAAAAGTCTTCGAATATGATAAAAATGGAAAGCGTTATTTGCTGAGCTATCGATAGCATTTGATTTACTCTTTGAGTGAAGACAGCAGACAGCAGATAGACAATGATTATAAATAATAATAACATGAATCAGATCAGAACAAAAATGGGAACACTACAGAAAACCAAAAGGACACTTACCTAATTCGTCTTTTCTTCAGAATTTCCAGCGTGAAACCCAGTTGAGCATCAATAAACGTACCTAATTGAGTGCGATTATTTTGCTCATCCACTGCTGCTGATTCGTTCCAATTTCGAAACGAAAAATTCGTTGCGGTATTCAACATGATTGATTAAAATTTTAATTTAATAATGTGTCGAAATAAATTATCAAAATAAATATAATAATATATAAATGAAATACAGTCTCTTTCCAGGACAACTTTGGTAGGTAGTTTAAATATTGCACTAGCGTGGCTTATCGAACGAACCGTGACATAACATAATCAGACCGTTTATGTTTCGGCTTAGATGCAAAAACGTTTGATTTCAGCACTTTTTGCATTACAATCGCACTTAAATAATCACTCTTCATTTTTATCTTCAATACACATTAAACATTAGCACAAATAGGTGGAATAACGATCACTAATTCTGATCAATTTTACAGTGCCGCTGCCAAATTACCACCGGCAAAATCGTTTGTCAATGAAGCACACTCCAACCGGTCAGAGCTCGGGTTATAGGATGAATAAGCTCAAATAAAACCACCCGGTCATCGACTGCCTGCAAAATGCAAGTCCTGTTGAAACATGTTCGCATTACTCCGTTGCATATTCAAGCGTATATCTATCTATGCAGGCACTCGAGTTTCATTCGTTGAAAGACTAGTCAAACGCCAAAATGTAGATAAAATGAGTCATGCGTTTGTGTAAACAAGTTCGAATACAGGCAAACGCTTGCGGGAATTGTGTGATATCTGATGAATGAATCAATGCAAACAAATTTTAGAGATTAAGTTTTAAGAACATCAATGATAGGGTACCTACAAGTTTTTTTCGTCTCTCAAACTAATCTATGTCTGTTCTCTTAAAAGATAGATTATTATTTTTATGAGATAGTTATTATCAGCAAAATGTTAGAATCATTAGTATTCGTCCTCATAACCGTAATAGTCGTCGTCATCGCCAGTATTCAACATATCAGCTAGCGACTTATGCTCCGGTTCTGGTTCAGGCTCAGGTTCAGCCTCAGCTTCTTCGTCGTAATCATCGATAATGTGTTCGGCTGAAAACATAATTGAAAATTCATAAAATAGATTGTTATGATAGTATAGGAGAACTAGGGGCAATCGCCCTAACGATTCTGTGTTTATATATTAGGTCTGTTCCCGTACTTGCTTTTTTGCTTTTGCTGTAGGTTGCTTACAGAAAAGCATTTTTGCATTAGTTTGGCAAATACAATCATACTCTATGCCCAGGGAATTATTTCAGTTTGGAATCTGACTTTTATTGGTACACCGGCAGTGTTGGCAGGAAACATCGCTCTTTGAACAGCTCTAACTTTTTTAAGAGACATTATAACGCCATACATCCTTCGGCAAAGTTTTTAGGCACTTTATGGAATATCTTTTACATGATTAGTTGCATGGTTCAAGCAAGATTCCCGTATAAACGCAAACCATAACTTGACCTTACAGAAAATGGTTAAAAATTGTTTATAATCCCTGTGAAACTTTATCTGAAATGGTTATGGAACTTTACATGAACGTTTGTGTGATAAAGTTTTAACCTTTTGTATTATGGTTGTTTGGAAGTTAATCTTTAAATCCAAGCGGAATGTAAACTCTTCTTTACAATAAGGGTAATAATATCACTTTTCAAAACATCTACACACATAATTTTTTCTATATTTGGTAAGACTTCGTTTCAGAGAGATCTTTCTACAATGCTTTCTACTTTTATAGGAATTATATGCATAGTTTCATAGATGAGATAGTAACAACAATGTGTCACTGTTAAAAATATTGAAGGCGACACCACAGACAAACAGACATAACACTCGAAAGTTGTTCATCGAACAAGCATTTAACGGTCAATTTAAAAGTATCGTAGTTGGTAGTACCGCCACCAAATTCAATTCCCTTGCGTTTGACGTTTACACACTACCACCATCTGTTCACTGTACTACCCACCACAGTGTATTCAACAGATGGCGGTAATGTTTTAGCGACGATGTTTTACAGTGAGAAATATTCAATGTGTTATGTCTGTTTGTCTGTGGCGACACTCTTGCCTGTAGTTCCCCTGCCCTTTTTTCCAGCTAAATTTTAGTTTCGAACCATTTGGAGGTGTTCCCATAAATGCCGTAATCTTGAGATATTCATCAAAATACATATGGTAAAATCTACTATGACGTTCGTCGCCCAACGAAACTTTGATTGACTAACAAAAAACACCCAGATGAAAGATGATTTTTGGAAAAAAAAAATGTACTACAACTACAGTTTGTAATTGCAGGATTGGGTAATAAATTGAATTTCTAAATAAAAAATTAAGCTGAATTCCGCATGCAAAATAACCATTAAAGTTTAAGCAACTTACCATGTTCTATTTTTGTCAATGGTGACTCGTCGATGACAGGTTTCACATCCACCGAATCGCTATCGACCACAGGAAGCGTTGCAGTCACAGGCGGTTTCCTGCGAGCTGAAAGACTTGCCAAGTTCACTGGTGGGCGGGACGCTCTGCTCATAGCTATTTCCGGTTTAATCCTATTTCGTGACAAAATATCAATGTCAATGGATTCGTGTTTCACCGGTTCTTCCGGCTGTTGCTGTTCTTCCGTAGTGATGGTACTGTCTGTCAATGTTTTCAAAATGTCGTAATTGATCTTGCTGGAAATTTTCTTCTCCTGAAGCATCTTTTCAATGGCCTCGCCTGCGGAATTGGAAGGTCCGATGTTCTTCTTTCGATTACTCTTCCGCTTCTTCTTTTCTGGCTTCCCTTCTTCGCGCTCCTTAGCCAAACGTTCCTCTTTTTCCTTCATTTCTTTGAGATGCTCAGCATGTAAGCGGTTCCACATCATATCCTTGTAACGGGCTTCTTCCTCAGTCATAATGTAACCATTTATTTCATCATCATCTAGATCGTCCAAGTTTAGTTCTCCGTCGTCTTCTTTATCTTCTGTTTTTGTATTTTCTTTGCGTTCAATATTATGGGAACACATGGCCAGTAAATCTGGTTTCATACCCTCTGGAACAATTTTACGTCGCCCATTTGCTTTAGTCTGCCCGGTGGATCCGTCCGGATTTTCCTCCAGACATTCATTGATCACCTCGAGTGTGGATTCTTTGATAAACTGATCCGTCTCACCAATCTCATCCACTGACAGATCCTCTCCCTTAAACTTCCGTTTTCTACTCATACTCTTGTGCAAATCTCTATCCAATGCAGCGTCGATCTCCGCTTGCAGTTGATTGAATTCTGTAGTGGACTCTTCTAACTTTTGCAACCGTTCTTTGTCCTTTTTCCTTGCAGCTTTGAACGCCGGTGGATCCTGTTCGGCCTCCAAGTCAACGGACATGAACTCATCCAACGTGAGTGCACTGCTGGGAGTTTCACCAAACTCGACCAACCGCTTGCGCAGTGTCGATTCGTGAATCTTGACAATCCGGACTATATCGTTCGGAGTGCGGCTGAATTCGTGCATCCGAGCAGCTAGCAGCAAAGCGGCACCGCAGAGTCCCGAGGGACGGCGACCGGAATGGATCGAATCTTTCTTCATTCGTTGAACCAGACGCTGTGCCGTCATCGATACTTCATGAGTTTTTTCCTCAAATTCGAGCTTGTTGGCATAGCGCATGATGTAGATGCAAGGGTCTGGAAAAGAAGATAAACATTTAGTTGGATTAGTTACAATAAAGATTGCATCAGTTTAACACCATAGCAAAACATTCTGGAAAACCGCAAAGGGAAAAATGTATCCCAATCAGTTATCAAAATGGCGTCCAAGCAAGAGGAGTAACGCATCAAAAATCCTAACTACTCGCACGCCGAGTTAGCAAAGCAGACTTCAAACAGGTTCCTGGGCAGGAGCTTAATACGGCAACCGGAAGGGGAAAGGTGACAGACATTTTCAAGTATCAAGCATATGAAATTGTCGAAGTTCGCTAAGAAATGTCTGGTTTCGCGGACTATATGTACCTATGGCTTGAAAAGCAACATTTTCATTGCAACCGGAACCGTCAACCAGGAAATTCACGAGTGTCTGGAAAAACGTCTGCTGCCTTTCCTGAAGCAACACGATTGTGCTGTTTTGACCGGATTTGGCATCATTCCATTACGAAAAAAGGCCATGGAGTGGTATGCCCAAGGACAAGCACCCTCCCAACACATCAGAGCTCCACCCAATCGAAAAATATTCGGCCATCGTCGAGCGGAACCTGAAGAAAACCCAAAAAACTGTTGGAAGCGTGAAGCAGTTTCAGGCAAACTGGCGTTCTCCGGCGAACAAAGTGGACGAGGTGGCTGTACAGAATCTGATGGCAGCTAGCTAAATATTTTTTTCTGTATTTTATACTAATTGAACTCAAAAAAGATTTTTTTTTTTCAGTATACACGCATTCTTGTTAGACCAAATTTTGATCATAACACCCTTTATTCTTGCTTCTATTGAATTTTTTTTTTCAACCGTTTGGGTAGATATAAATACTTCCATATAACTACCAAATTTTATATAATCTTTTTGCTGCTCCTTTACTGAATGAGCTACCTAAGAGCAAGCAAAGATCGATTCTTTGGTACCGATTTAATCGATGCATCGATGCCGTAAATAAAATCGATCCGTCGAGCATTGGTGCTCAGCATGGAAAACAAATCAAGGAAAAAAAATACAATCGATAGAATCTTGCTGGAATTTTTAGTAAGATTTAAAAGTATTCAAAGTGTTGATTTCAAACAAATATTGAGGAGGATTCTCACATAGTTTTCGAAGGAGAATTTTTTGAGCAGAATTCCAGAATCATTCTGACATGAAGTCCTTAGAAATTGTTAGAATAATTCGGAGGGATTTCTGTGGAGAAGATTGCAAGTTCTAAATAAAATTATTAGGTAATTTTTGAAGATTTCAAAATAAGTTGTGAAAAAAAAACTTTAAAGAAAATTCCTACGTGATACTGAGGAGATTTGTATGAGGATCGTGAAAAAAGACAGATGAATTTTAAGATGAATTCCAAGAGAATTATGATGAGAATTCAACAAGACACAGAGTTCTAAGAGTGTTCTGGCGATAATTTCAACCCTAGTGCGAAAGATTCATCACAGAGCACCAACAAAATTTATTGCAACAAAATTGCTAATAAGTAGAAAGAAATTCTTTAAAATACTCTAAATAAAATTTCGAAAGATTTATGCTGGTTTGGATGGAGTTGAAAGAAAATTTTGAAAAGAATTTCAAAGAAATCAAAGTCTCCGAATAGGTTCAAGGGAATTCTAAGCCGGATTCCAATCAAATTCTTAGAAGGGGTTTTAAGGAAATTCGAAAAAGAATTCAACGGTAATTATTACGCGGAGTGTTTTCTGAATTCCATGATAATTTAGAGCAGAATTCCAAATTAATTCTGGAATTTATATCATGAGAATTTTGAATAAAATTAAAACCAGCATATTCAATATTTTGCTTTAAGGTCCATGCACTTTACATCTGAAATTGAAACGACAAAAATCAATTTGAAATATTGATTAAATTCTAAAAACAATAAGACGGGGATCTGAAGAAAATTATGCAGCAAATAGAGAAATACATTCTTTTGGTAAAGAATCACTTTGTCTTAATGGTTTATTCTGAAAGTCTGGTGTAAAAATGTATTCCTCTGGTGTGGCTAATTTATTTTTCCAGGTTCTCTCATCGAATTCCCGGGGTTTTCCCAGTTTTCCCGGTTACTTTTCAAATTCCCGCATATTTCCCGGTTTTCCCGGTTCGCTGGCCACCCTGCACTTGCTGCGCAGAATACGAACCTTATTGATCGCGTTGTTTTTATTTACCTACATGAATGGTGAGTAGTTCTGTTCATCCACCACTATTGGGGTGATTACATGCTGGAATGCTGGTACTAGTGAACTAATACGGTGTTTACATAGGCTAGTTCACTAGCACAACCAGCTCAACCAATTAGCACGAACTTCTGTTGCTCCTGAAATCTCATGCTGGTAGATGCTGAGACTCTGTTTACAATATGCTGGCTACTATTTAGCACAGTTCTTGTACATTAACACTAGCTAATCAGCACAAATGTGAACACCACTAAGCTGTACTTATAAATAGTCAGCATTATGTAAACAGGGCGTTAGCATCTATCAGCTTGAGATTTCAGGAGCAACTGAATTTCGTGCTAGTTAGTTGACCTGGTGGAGCTAGTGAACCAGCATACATGTAAACATTTATCGCGACTATGATTCAATCAATTAAGCTGTTTTGTTGTTGTTGGAGATAAGTTTTTTTTTTTTTAATATTTATCTTTATTAAGGAGACTTTCAATCCTGGGCAGGAGATAAGTTATCATTATTAGATTTACTCTAATCACATTAAAACAATCACCTTAACTAATTAATGTAAAGTCAAGAAATACCAGAGGGTGAACAGCAACTCCAACACGTTTCGGAAGTGGGTGATTTGTGTATTTTAAATAATCCTAATAGATACTCCCTACTGTGTTACCTGACTTATAACGAATATACGTTGTATACGAGTACCCCGAACACGTATAGTTCGTCTAATTTTACATTGCAAATGCTATGCAAAATTAGACGAGTCATACGTTGTATTCGGGGTACTCGTATACAACGTATATTCGTTATAAGTCAGGTAACACAGTAGAGCTCATAAGATTCACAAGATTGCGTTATTCTTTTTAGCCAAAAGAAATCGAAACGAATTTCATAGATTTATCTAATGAAAAATAATGTTTACAAAAATAATGGAGTGGCGCACAAACTGGAATCAAAACCATGGACGTTGACGTTATGAGGCCAATGCTTTGACCATTCGTCTATCAAGCTTGTAGAATGAAAGATGCTAATGGGTTGTTTACATATACCTACACTGGTTCACTAGCTCAACCAACTAGCACGAATTTCAGTTGTTCCTGAAATCTCATGCTGATATATGCTGACACCCTGTCCTTTGTCTGTATCTTGGGGTCAATTTGACCCTAGGCAATTTTTGCAATCTTTTATATGCCTGCCTATTAGTTGAGACATATTTCGAATTTTAATTAATACCCGTTGTGAAGGATTTTCGCAATGAACTTAGCTTTGCTTTAGAGGTACAGACAAAGGGTTAAGGGATGAACACAATAATAGCGGCACAGCGGTATAGCGGCAATCGCTAATTTTCCAATACACTGAAATCCGTTTTACAACTCACAATGAGCGCTTTGCGGTAAAAGATCATTGTACTAAAACGCTTTTTTTTTTTTCAACATTTTGGAAAAACGCGGTGCGGTTTAGCGGCAGCCTGAGAAGTGCTCAACATTTTCAGTTGTATTTTTTGTAATTTTGAGTTAACCAGAACCTGCAAGACGTGAACCAAAAAAATCATCCAAGGTCGTAGTATGTAATCAGAATCATGCATCAGGACATATTTCGGGTACTCCCGGGGAACTGGTCAGATTCTTATTGAACCAACACCTACATGCGACACATAAAATTACATGATAATTCAAAAATATGATCATTGGTGCCCATATTAAGTACTGAAGACCACGTTTGCCAGATCCGAACATGTTCCGGATACCCCGGAGGAAGTGAAACTTGAACCTACATCTTCATGTAACACAACAAACTATATGAGAATTCAAAAATAAGAACATTGGTTCTCGAGCAGGAACGCATATCTCGATACCTTAAATTGGTATGGATGAGTCTGACATAGGAGGTAAAATACCAAAAAGTAATACCAAAGAAATGTTCCCACAATACTATTCCAATACCAAATTAAGATAATGCAATATTAAAACAATACCACACAGGTATTCTTTTGGTATCCAAATATCAATTTTTGGTATGTACAAAGTATTTCGCATGTAATTTTTTGGTATTATTTTTGGTATTTTACCTCTTATGTCATGCTGGTCAATACCAAATTTTGGTATCAGATCAGAATTAGGTATTCATTAGTTATTTTCTCCTGCTCAAGTGACCATATTAAGTACTCAGGACTGGTACCACACTGGTCATACATGTTCCGGGTGCTCCCGAGGAGTTTTATAAATTTCCTGAAATTTTCCTGAGGCCAATGGAACTTCTCTGGAGGTCTCGGATCTTCCCTGAAATTCTCTTCAGAACTACTCTGAAACTCTCCACAGAAATACTCTGGAGTTCTCATCAGAACTATTCTAAAATTCTTCTCAGAATTTCTTTGAAGTTCTCCTCAGGACTACTTTGAAGTTCTCGTCAGAACTACTTTGAACTTCTCCTTAGAACTACTCTGAAGTTCTCCTCAGAATTACTTTGAAGTTCTCTTCAGAACTTCTCTGAAGCTCTCTTCAGAATTACTTTGAAATTCTTCTCAAAACTACTCTGAAGTTCTCCTCAAAACTAAGTTCTCCTCAGAACTACTCTGAAGTTTTCCTAAAAACTCCTCTAGATCTTCGATGAAGTTTTCAACATTTTCCTGAAATGTGCGAAGTTGTCCTAATATTCTCTTGTAGATCTTTTAACTTTCTCGCTAGTTGGGACTTCCCTAAAGGTATCTTTACTCCCACAGAAGTTCTTTAAACTTTTCAGTAAATTAGAGTTGTCTAGACTTCCCTAAGATTCACGGAACTTTCCTTAAGCTCCCGCAGTTTTCCTGATATTCATAACTCTTCTCAAAAGCTCTA